GAATAAAAAAAATAATTTGTATAATTATATTTATTAATTATAATTATTAAAAAGCATTTAATATATGCGACAAAAAAAAATGAAATCTAAAAACCTATACAATTGAAGAATTAATATATACTAAAGTTTCTTTAGTAAAAAAGAAATAATTTTCAATAAAAAATGAAAAAAAATTATTTCTTGATATTTACTTTTATAAAATATGATAAAAGTATTTATTAATATCTTGTGAGATAGCTGTAGACTTTTATCACTGCTTCTACTTGATGATTTATACTTTCAACAAGATTTTGGTAAATTTCATCTGAAATCTCTATCTAACATTGTTGAAGAAGTTTTTTTAATTCTCTCATATTCCTTAGATTTTTTACTTTAATCAGATTTGATGCTCAAGCTTATTCTATAAATGTTCTATAGAATTAAGATCAGGACTTTGCTCTAGCCAAGGTAACTAAGTTATATTCCTTTTTTTAATAAAGTTTTGTGTTCGTTTACTTATATAAGTTGGTGTATTATTTTATTGAAACAAATATTTTCCATTTTGTTTTTCAAATTTCTCAAAAAATGGAACTAAATGATAGCTAAAAATCTCTTGAATATATTTTTTACTATTTATCTAATCATTAATCCTTATCAAAGAACCTAACCTATATCAGGAAAAGCACCTCTACATCATAATTCCTTCACCACCATGTTTTACAGTTGAAACAAAGCAATTAATATTGTATTTTTCTTTAGAAAGTCTTCAAACTCTAATTTTTCCATTATTCTGAAATAGAGTAAATCTAGACTCGTCACTTTATACAACTTTTTTCCAGCCATTTATAATCTATAAACGCCTTTTACAAGTCTAATTTAAACGAATTTTTCAGTTATTCTCATTAATATTGGGTTTCTTAAGGGCTGTATAACTATTATATCCTATTTCATATAATGTTTTTTCATAATTTGCTTATATATTACATTTACAGTAGACTCGATAAAAATTTCTTTTATTTTTTAACAGGTTTATACTAGTTTTTGACAATAATAGTCTTAAGATAACGCTTATCTCATTCAGTTACTTTCTTAGAACATTCACTTCTATTAGCAACAGAAATAGTATTCTTCTCACAGTATTTTGTTATTATATTATGTATCGTCATTTTGCCATAACTCATTTTTTTGAAATAACTCTTTTGAAGTCACTAGCTTCATAAAAGCCGATAATTTTATCACGTTCAAAATTTCTTAGTTCTTTTCTTTTAACCATTTTTGTGAAAACACAGAGAAAGTAAATATAGTGGAAAAAAATTTTGTGTGATGATCATCACTAAACAATACATCATAAATAGTTTATTTTATTACACAAATAAATAATATTTTTTCAATTTATGTATCGCTATTATAAATTTTAAAGGTGATTCTAAACTTTTTACACGGGAGTGTATGAGCTATCAGAGTTAAAAAATACTAAGTAATTAGCATTTTTATGTATAAATATATTAATTTTATGATATTTTTTATATTATATATATGCATAAAATATTTTAATGTCACCCATTCTTAAAAAGTTAACCAATTTGATTTTATATATATTCTGAAGTGAAATAAATTCTCAAAAACAATTGCTATACTTTTCTCAGGTGAAAATGCTTATATTTAAAATTTTTTTAGGTAAAATATAGCTAAAAGTAATATTTTTATAGTAAGACACTTTTAGGTTTTTTAAGATTATACTATACATATAGAAAACAGTTAGTAGAAGAGAGAAATTCACTTTTTAGTTAAAAATTTTTTATTGATTTACTTTACTAATCATAGTTATGTGAATAAAACTAGCTTAATAATTAAGATTACTTAAAATTTATAAATATCTGAATTGTCAAAAAAGGCACTTTTTGCTGTAGAAAAGTCATCATGAACTTTCTGTAATCAGTATAAGCAAAATAGTATGATTAACATTACAAACAGAAAGTGTATACACTTAGATTGTTATATTTGTCCTTATTTTAATATCCCAAGAAAAACATAAGACTAATACTACATTAAACACAATATAACGTAATAAATTATCAGTGTGAAAAAGCTAGTTATATGATCATACTGATTTTAATCTTTTTGAAAAAAAGTGCATTTTTGCAAAGCTTACCAAAATCCTAAAATAGTTAATATTGTTAGCCTGAAGTGTAATAATATTAATTGTCAAAAAAGAGCACTATATGGAATATTTGGTTATAAAATGTCACGATGCTTTACATATAAAGACAAAGGTATAATAGCACAATCTTCACGTTTATGCATGATCTTAGATTGTAAAAAATCTGCTACTTATAGACTTTCTAACCTAATTAGATGCAAAAAACCCTTCACAGATAATATGATTAATCTAGTCCAAAAAATATGTTTTAATTGTGAATTGCTTGATATCCTTTTGCAGGATCAAAAGTGCGTTGATTGTAGCACTTATGCTAAAGTGAAAGCAAGTATACATTTGGCAAAGCAACTTTGAGTGAAATATATTTTAGACAAGAATAATATTCTATATAAAGCATACAATTTTATTATAGAAGATGGTGTGTATTCAAAAAAATGTTTAGACTTTGTCATTGATACTAATATACATAAAGTTATACTGAAAATATATGAGTATCAACACAAGAAAGGGAAATATAACTGTAAGATAAAAAGAATATGAGATATTGCATAAACACTTAGCATTTCTACTCTTTTTATTTGCTATAATTCTGATAGTTACAGAATTTTCAACAGAATTACAAAGGATAGTAATGATAGGAAAAGAAAACAAGAATTGTTAATATGCTTTAGCAATGTAGTAAAATCGCCACCTAAAAAATCATAATTTCTTCAAATTGTCTACCTTATAATGACTATACCAGAAGTTTGGTTCAAGAATAAAATACATGAAAAAGCAGATAAAACATTATAAATTTGTATAACTATTGTGAAAATTGACTCAAACAAACATTTTATTTCTGTTATATATTTCTGTATTTCTGTGATGCAATAAATTTTTTTTTTAAAATTATTAGCTTACGTGAACTATATCTTTCTTTAACTGTATATAAACAAGTATTGTGTAATATTATTTGCTACTCATTTGATTTTTTACAAATAAAAATATCATTTCAAAAAGTTTTAGATATGAATTTAAATGCATATTGAAATAAAATCACAAAAGACTTTATTCAGATAAAGTATTTTTAAAACAATATAAATAAAATTATGTAACAATTTTTTAAGCTAAGATTCTTAATACCACATTCCATTTAATAAAAATTTATTTTTTGGAGTATGATTTGTGTTCAGTCCTGATTCAGTTTCAGGTGTAATTCAACATCATTTTCCTTTAGTGGTTTTCAAGAGAAGTTTTTTCACTACCTTTTCAGTTTTAAGAGACTTACTCTATACATTTGATTCATAAGTTATTATAAATCACCATAGGAAAAAAAATAGAAAATTATCTCAAATGATTTAAGAACACAGCATGCGTCTTCTAAATTGCTATAATCATTTTCATCAACTGGTATTCTATACTAGTCTATCAATCTGAATCTATAGATACCATTCTCTTGCCAATCCATCATGTAAAAATTTAATTCTAATCCTAATAAAATCTATTAGCAAGAAATTTTCTGAAACTTTTCATGTTGAACTTACCTACTTGTAACCAGCCATAGATTATTATATTTCTCAGCTTTCATCTATAACATGTTTATACTTTTTTAATAGCTGATTTATTCCATCATATATAATTATCATCAATTTAACTTTGTTTAAAAATTGCTTCTTACGATATGCAGAAAGAATTCTAAATGACCTAATCCCCCTACAACCTCACTATAAATAACTTCAAATTTGTTTATTGTTTTAGTTAAGGTTGCTTTCATGTCAACTTTCCTACTCATCTGGGCTTTTTGAATGGGTCAATATTTTTATTACGTACGTAACTAGTTGAAAAAGCTTGAACCTCTCCCTACATGCAGAAGAATGTCAGTTTCACATTCAGTATTTTACTAAATACAAACTAATGCAAATAACTTACTAGACATCTTTAATATTAGTTAATGTAAACATTTTATGAATTAGCAGAAATGAAGTAATTATTTTTAACTGTTCTTTGATAAGCATACCTTAAAATGAATGCATATTAACTTTCCTGTGCAGTAATACAGAAGGTCAGAATAATGCCAGATAATCATAAGTCATAACTTAACATTTATATAAATTGAACATATGTATTAAATTTTTTAAAATCTTTATGATTGCTATCAATATAATCGCAATTTTTATCAAAATAATTCTGAAAATTTCTTAAAGCAGGCTCGCATTTTCACTTTATATAATTGGCAAAATCTGCAATAATTGATGTATATCACTTTTGGTAATTTTCTTACATCTAAATAAGTTTTCTTTAATTAAGTCTAGAACTTCCTAATATGCGAGGCTATGGAGGGTAAATAAAACACATTAATAATCTGGCAATAATTGTTTTTCTAAAAAACACAAAACTTATGTGAAAACTCTGCGAATATTAGAATTTTTTCTTGGTATATTTAGAAAGCATTTAACATATCTATATGAATTTTGGTGAATTTTATTGAAAAAAAGAATAATTACTCTACTGATATATACTGGCTAATCATGATATTAAAATTTATCTTATTACTACTAGTAAGTGATAATTTATCCTCTTCTTTAAGAGATTTTTTGTCAATATTTTCTATAATAAAATTTTCATTAGACTTATCGAATAAATGTTTGAATCTTTTACAATAATCTGATTGGTTGTTTACTAATTTTCTTTTGTTGGCAGAAGTGTCTTTATTCTTCTATTGTATTGTAGTATATTTTTAAATGAATTGTATGTATAACTTTAGCTACAAAATGCTAAATGCTAACAAAAAAAATTATTACGAACCTCCAAAACATTTCTACTAACTTCACTTTAATTCTTATCATTGTTATGTATCTGTGAATTTCTCACAAATGATATTATTTCATCTGTCATAATAGACCGTAATGTGTTTCATTTTTGCATCTAATGCATTTTCTATACGTTTTAGCTATCTCATATTCTAAGTCAGTATTCTGAAATATAAAGACATAAAAAAATGTATTTTACTCACCTTTTTTACATCAATCTGTTTCTTCATATCAATCGACAACCAGAAAGTATTTACATCCTCACTCATTTTTTCGAGCTTATACAAAATTATAGGAAATAATTAGTTTTTTGTTAACTTCTTAATATATAAAATAGCGTCATCACATCACAAGAGCTGGAAAAAAACTTAGCATAGGACGTACCCTTCACAACCAACAGGACGTATCTATTTAATCACACCAAAGAATTAACATGTAGTAATAATAATATGAGACGTACCCTTCACAACCAAATAGGATGTACTTGTTCAATCACATTAATAGAAGCTAAGGCATACCTTAACACTTAAAGGAGGACGTATTCCATACTCATCAAATAAGGCATACTCATTTGACTATTAAATGTCAACATGACTAGCTCTGTGTCAACTAAATATGATAATTTGCTTAGTTTATTTATCTAAAAATTAAGAAGACACATCCAAATTGTTAATATTTTTTAGGATATTCCTAAAGATATTTAAGGTTTTAATATAAGACTGATATTCTGATGATTTATCTCCTGTAAAATCCTTTGTGCATTCTCTATACTTTAAGTAACTAAACAAGCTTCAAGTTGTATTTTTTTGGAAGTAATTTGGTAATTGCATTATGTAGAAGAGTTTTTTTATTTAAAGTAAAAAGAGAAAATACGTTTTTATTTTTATGTATTAATGTGTTTTTTAATTCTAATGTTGATATTACCAAAAAATGCAAAATATGCAAATAAATTTTTTTATATAGTAAAAAAATACTTTATTATTTTATTGATTATTATAATATAAAAAATTTAACATTTCAATAGAATTTTCTAAAATTCTTTTATAATTAGAAAAATTAAACTCTTGAAATACTATAGGTAACTATATATAAACTAATATAATACTTGATAAATTTGGAAAAATTCTTTTTGCCAATATTAATTTAAATTCAAATTATCTTCCTCAAAAATTTCTACCAAATCACAATAAATTGCCCATTCAGTTATAATCAGTGTTAGAATTAGACCTTGTTCAATTTCCAATAATAGATTAATAGACTTTAAATCTAATGAAGATGTTCAGTCTATTTTCAATTCAAATGGATTATAATTAAAAATTTTGGCTAAATTATAATTTTATATATTATAATTCTAATCAAATTTATAATGCTAGCCTAACTTAAAAATTTGAATAAATAATTAATCAATAAATTCGTTTAATTAGAACGGTTCTACTGATTTGACCTTGAAATTAATATTATAAACATTTCAAATTTATCTCATTTCTGCTAAAGATCAAAATTCTAAATGAAAACATCTAAATATTTATATTAAGAGTTTAGGAAAATCTAATTATTTATCAAATTTTATATTAATTAATAATAAGTAAATTTAATAAAATTCTAACAAATATTATAAACATATTGCTAAAATTATATGTTAATTTATAGTTATTAGATAAAGTTTATAATTTAATAATCCAAATTTTAATAGAATTGGAATAGATTAAGTCTATTAGTCTAATAGTCTAATAGTCTAAAAGTCTATTAGTTCAAAAGGCCAATACTGATTATAATAAAATTAGAAGAATTTTAAAATTCTGAAATTAGATTATAATTAGTTAAAATATATCTATTTTGAGATATTGAATAAATTAAGAATTAAAATATTGAATTGCATTAAATAATGGTAAAGCAAAATGAGAATCTATATATTTTTTAAATTTTTCAATGCTAATTTAAAAGCTTCAGAAAAAATTAGAATAAGGTATTTATAATTTTAATAATTCTGAGATAATAGTTATATTATTTTTATTCTAATTAGTGGATTATTTATTTTATTTCGCAAAAATGCTCTTGTTTGTTTAATTTTTGAAAAAACAAAAGAGCAATAGTCAAATTTCTTATTTTAAAAAATTCAAGATCCAATACTAATCTAAAAAATATTAAAACTTTAATTTTTATATTTTATTAATAATAAAATAATAAAAAATATTATTAATATTTATCTTTGTGCATTAAATAAAATAAATTTATAATCAAATTCTTAGATATATTACTTTTTCTAGATTCTGAATCAGCTTCTAAACTATCTTCTGATTCTTCTTTTATCAGTGATTTAACTGCTTCTAGATCATATAGCTCAAGATCATGAAAAAGAGTTTTACAACTATCTAGATCATCTAGTAAATAAGATTCAATACCTAGATTAAGTTCTTTTCACCTTTTTACAATCTTACTTTTCATATTCTAAAATGTTTAATTGATTTTTGAACATTTGAATTGATCTATTTTTCTTCTTTAGTAATATAGTTTCTTTGTGAATAAGGTCAAGTTTTAGAGCTAAAACTTGAGTGGTTATTTGAATAGACTATTATTTACCTTTTTAAATAAGTATTTGAATTGATACTTTAATTGAAATAGCTTCACTCTTCTGGTCTTGTAGTGATTTACATAGATTTTTACATTAAAATGCTCATAAAGTTTTGAGATATTGAGTATTTATGATTATAATATTTGCAGATTATATTTTTTTATCACTTCTTGCTTTTTAACTATAGTATTATTTCTAATCATCATGCTATTACTTGCTTATAAAATTTTTTTTTTAATTAATTATTTTCTATTCTTTTTACTTTTTGATCATAAAGTTATCATTTAAGGCAATATTTTTAGATTTATCAAAACAGCTTTAGCTATTCTTTTTTTTCTTTGTATAACTTAAAAAAATATATCACTTGCTTCACATTCACAGCTGATTTTTTGTAAAATTAATTTGAATTATGTTTTCTCATCTTGTAGATTAATAGATTAAAAGAAAATTGAAGTATTAACTAATTATTAATTAATCTTTCAAAATTTAGTTAGGATAATTGATAAATATTTCTGCTTATATCTTAGCAATATTAGAAATACTTGTAAAAAGGCTTGCATTCATCCTAAAAGATGTTAATTTTATTAGAAAGCTAAAAAATAGGTATTATATTCTAATTGCAAAAAGTCTATAGTTTTTATTTATGAATGATATCTATTACATATTAGAGATTATTATATTACTTAACATTATGATAAATTGTGAGCTAAAACTTTAAATCTGAAATATATTGAGGGTATAATAGGGATGTAACATATATATTACTTATATATTTTTATTAAATTTATTTAGATCATTATTTTTATGAGTTAAAACTTGCTAAAATTATTTTTCTAATATATATTTTTTGTTAAACTTTATATATTATTTAATAAGTTAGCTTGTACAGAATCCATTTTTGATTAAAAAAAATTTAGAATAATTTTACAGATTTTTTCTAGATTTTCATAAGGAATGTTAGAGTTATTTTTGTTAGATTTATATGTTATTTTATGAGTTAATTAATGTAAAGATACTTTCTAATATATTGCTTTTTTTGTTATATATATAAATTTTTAGCAAGATGAAATCATTAGATTTAAGAAAACTGTTAGACTTATAAGAACATTAAATTTATTTTCGTTAGACTTAAATGATTAATATGTTTTGATAAGCTAGTTCACATAGAATTAATTTTTAATATATAATTTTTATTTAATTTAATAAATATAACTAAAAAGTTAATATAAATTAAGAATCTAGGATTTTTAAAAGCTTTTCTAATATAGAAAAAACTGATATAGAAATTAAGATTCAAAAATAGCTAGAAACTTTAAAATAAATATAGAAATAAAGATTCTAAAGCTTATAGAAGCATTTCTAATATAATAAAAAAATCAATATTAATTTTAAAGATCTAGAACTTTTAGAAGTTTTTCTAGTATAATAAAAATTGATAATGATTTAAAAGTTCTAGAACTCTTAGAACTTTTTTAATATAATAGAATTTGATAATGATTTTAACATTCTAGGAATCACACATATACAATATGAGGGATTTTATTCTAAAACCCTATTTTTATATTATATCATCTTATATTAATTAAGATATTTTCTTAAATTTAATTATTTATTATATAATTTTTAAATTAATGTAATTTTTTTTTAATATAATTTTTTTTTGTATATTAAATATACAAACATTTTATTAATGATTTTTTTTAATTATTTATATCATAAAATATATATATATGTATATTTAATTATTAAAATAAATAATTTGATATTCAAAATTGCATTGCAAAATCTCTAATATTTACTATACTGAATATGATATACATATATTTCTTTAGTTAAGATTGCTTATCTAAACTTATTTTGAATTTGATAAAACATTTAAATTTTTAGTTTTATTATTTTATAAGTTATGATATAGGTTTATCTTATATTGAATTTCAAATCTTTTATTTAGAGTTAGAAATTATATGACTCTAAAATTATTTTAAGCAGAATGATTTTCTTAATATTGCTCCTCTTAAAAACATTCTATAACGGAAACAGTTAAATCTCAACCATTTGATCTGTTCTGTTTTAAGAGCATTTTTAATTTCCGATCATAAATTCTTTCTCATTCATTCAACTGCAGATCCGAAACCGACCGTTCGGAAACTCTAAATATGGACTATTATAATATTTTTTATATCCAAATGAAGAATTATATTATATATAACTTTAGGATGTAATTCGTTTTGAATTTTCATGTGTTACATTGAATTAGTGTAACCAATATTTTCATATAAACACCAAAATTTTTTTCGAGATAATCCGAAATTTTTAACAATGATGTCAAATAATATAGAAACAGCACCAAAAATTGATTTATGTAGGCTTTTAAAATTTTATAATGAATTTAAAAATTTAAAATGTATTTAATAAAAATTTTTTTCGTAAATATTTTGTAGCAAAATGTCGATATGATCAATCCTCATATTTGGGTCGAGTAAAGCATTTTTTTAATGTTACCGATCCGAGGTCTGTATTAAAATAAATTGATTTGATTAATCAATAAATATTAGGTAAAAAATTTGACTTCTTAATTCTCCTTATTAGGACATTGTTTGTGTCGAGAAAAGGTCTTGAAGAAGCAAAATTATTGATTAATGATTATAATTCTGGTAAAATACAAAACGTGGAACCGGAAAAATTATGGAAAGCAAAGAAAAGTGAGTCCATTCATTAACTTGATTCCAGGAAAAAATTACAAAATGGACTTTAACTAGATTACAATCGCTTTGATAGTTGTCGAATCGACAATTCATCCGGATACAGGAGAACCCGTATTTCTTCCGTTCAGAATGTCTTCATTTGTACCAACCAATCTTGTCGTTGTAGCTGGCATGCTAATGCCTAATCCAAGTGTAAGATATTTCTTTATTGTAAAAGTAAAAATGAAAATTGATTTTTAAAAGAAAGGATTCTAAAGAAGCTGACATTTTAGAATTAAAGATAGGTAACATTATATTTTGGCAATGGGCAAATCAAAGTATCAACGTAGCTATAAATTATTCAAATGCTAACAAGACCATTGAAATGAGTTTAAAAGAAACCGCAAGTAAGTGTAAAAGAGACTATCTTTTTTAAGAATTTACAGAATGTTAAATTAATTTCACACATCGTTAGTCGCTTATATTTCGGCTGTGACAACTTCATGTGGATTGGCGGTTGGACTTACGCATGCCGTTCCGCGACTTACATTCTTAAGACCATCTGTACGTGGAGTATTAGCAAGATTGGTTCCTTTTGTAGCTGTTGCAAGTGCTGGTACTGTCAATGTTTATTTGATGAGGATGAAAGAAATTCGAGACGGAATTGACGTATACGATAATGAGGGAATGAATTTAGGCAAATCAAAAAAAGCTGGTGCATCGGCTGTAGGACAGGTCGCTGTCTCGCGAGTTTTAACACTCGCTCCCGTGTTAACAGTTCCACCACTCGTACTCTCTCAACTTGAAAAGACTAATTTACTAAAAAAGAATCCAAGGCTTTCAATTCCATTTAATTTTGGTAATTATATTCGTTTTTTTATATATATATACATATCTATATAATTTTAAAATTTTGATCATTTTATTTTTTTTATAGGAATTATAGCAGTAACATTGTTGACTGCGTTGCCATTGGCTATTGCTGCTTTTCCACAAAATGCTGTGATAGATCCAATGAAATTAGAACAACAATTTTGGAACTTAAAGGATAAAAATGGTGATATTATCAGACAGGTATTTTATAATAAAGGATTATAAAAATTAAGGATACAAAGAAAAATAAATTATCATTCAAAATATGAAATATATTTCTGGATTTTTTTTTCTTTTTTTTTTAAAAAAAAAAAAAAAAAAAAAATTTTAAAACAATGAAATAAAGCAAATTTTCTTTCATATGTAAAAACATTTACCAAATTTAGTAAAGATCATTTATTTTTTTTGTGTCATATCCGAGATCCTTCGAAAATCTATCTCGACTTTCGGCGACACATTTAATTGTCTAATCACACGTCACTTCATGGTGATACAACATTATGAGTACGATGATATAATTTTTTCTTCTGAAGTATGTTCTAAAAGCATTATTGACCCATGTTCATAGTCAAAGAACTGACAAATTGGACAAATTGAAAGATTTTGATTTCTCCTCGAGCTAGTCAATTTAAATAACTTGCAGTACAAGAATGAAAAAAAATGTGATTTGTAAGAAAGAAGTATCACAGAATTTGTTTGAACATGGTGTTACCAATAACATAACAACAGGACAAATTTCTCCGGGGACTTGAACCTCGTGTTCCCAATTTCGTCTCAAATTGGTAGGCACCGGCTCATGGTACTACATCATACGACAGTTTGTTGTATTGTTACAGAGATATCCTTATAAAAACTTATAAAAGGATACAGAGATTTTTTTTCTTCGGTTATCTTTCCGTAGAATTTCGTAAATTGGTGAAGTTTAACTTTGATTAAACTGATGAGCACTTATCAACTATCAACACCTTCATCACCTACAACTCCTACTAGTACAGTACAATCACCATACCAAAATCAGAACCTCATGACTCTTCAACCTCCTTCACAACCAGTCAAGATGAGTAGTAACACGTTTGTTCACAAGCTGTACAAGTAAGTTTAATTTTTTTTTTAAAAAAAAAAAGCCAAGGCTGTTGCATAATATTCAAAAGGTAATGAGATTGCAACTGGCTAATAGTGCTTCAATTTTAACCGTTTCATTTTCTTGTTAAATTTTTACTCTTTTCTTTTATAAATATGCTAACAATACGCATTCCGATCTTTCAGTATGGTTGTTGATAAACAATATCAACATCTTATTGCTTGGAATTATACCGGGTCTTCCTTCATAGTATGTAATATTATGGAGTTTTCTCGTGACGTTCTACCAAAACATTTTAAACACAATAATTTCTCTAGTTTTGTTCGTCAATTAAATATGTAAGCTACTCTGCCCAACCCGCGTTAACTTTTTTATTTAAATTTTTTTACTTTTGTATTCTTTTTAAAATGCTTTTCATTAATTTTAATTGTTATTAATTAAGGTACGGTTTTCATAAAGTGAATAAATCACCACGTGGACATCGAACATTAGCAGAAAATCAAATTTGGGAATTTTCTCACGCAAAATTTTTGCGCGGACGTCCAGATTTATTGGATGATATCAAACGAAAAGCCATGGAGTCAGAAACTCTACGACGAGAAACAGGAGATTTACATGCACATCTTGCTATGATGCAAGTTGCGCAAAATGAATTAATACAACAAATTAGACAATTACAGGAAAATTTTACCGAGGTTATGAGGGATTTGTCGGATACGAAACGAAAACAAAGTTTGCAACAACATTGGATGAAAGAAATGTGGCAATTCATGCAAAATCAAGGGTCGACGACGACGACAAGTGAGTTTTTAATAGGGAGGTCGTTGAAATTAATTTTTCTTATATTATTAATAATGATTAATTATTATTATTTTTTTTTTTAAAAAAAAAAAAAAGTTCCATTTGAACTGAACTTCGATAGTTTCGATATCAAATCCGAACCAGACCGACCACCGATATATATTACATCACCGGAGAACAGTAATATGACAAATCTCTTCCTAAACCAATTATCATCACAACAAGGAGTGCATCAAATTCCACAGCGTCCTTCGACGCCGTTGACGGTAAACACCAATATAGGCAGTCATGCATCATCTAGTCAAAACAGTCCACATAGAAGTCCAAATCGTGTTTTGAACATTCAACTCCCTGGAAATCACTTTTATGATCCCACAATATTGTCTAATACAATATCACCACTTTCGCCTACATTTTCCTTTAATCAGGCTGTAAACACACCTTTGCCACCAAGTCCTTCGCCGGGTTCACCAATGGCACATCTGTCAGATGACGATATGGATGCTAACAGTTCGATTTATTGCACAAGTCCTGGTAGTCATGCTGGATCAGATTACGGTGATGAGATATTTAATAATGCAGTATAGCGTCCTAATTTCATACCTACTTTTTCTACGATCATTTTATTTACTTTATGGACTTGTGGTATAGGTATGGATAACTTTTCATGGTAAAGGGGGGCTAAATTCAACGTATGTTTGTTATACCGTCTTATTTACCGCTTTCTTATTTACCATTAGTCTTATTTTTAGAGGAAAATTTTGATAGATTTTTGTTCCATCACAAAACCCATTATAGGTTTATTGTTTGTAGTATATATACATATACATATACATATATTTTCTTTTTTTATTATTATTATTATTATTATTATTATAACACAGACTGAACATTTTCGATTCATCATTTCTTATAATTATTTTATTTTATTTTATTTATCCGATTTTATACGTACATATTTATCTTGAACCTTTTATACTTTTGTCTGCAAAAAAAAAAAAATCTTTTTTACGTGTATTATATATATACTTCGTCACGATTAATATACACATATTTTTTTCTCCTTTTTTTACCCTTATATATATATATTTAGGAAACTTTATCTTATTGAAATTCATTATTTGGAATTATTCTAATCAAATATTTAAATATTCAAGTAAACAAAAAATTTCCTCAATTAGATTTCTGGTAATCCATTGAATTTAATTTTTTTTTTTTTTTTTTAATTTTTGAAGTTACATTGTTATAAACTACTGTTTCAAGCCAACAATTATTAAGTTTGATGGTACCAAAATGGTGTCAAACTAAATAATTTTTCAATTCTTCTAGAAAACTTATTATGGATTAAGATTTACATATTTAGAAATCGTTATAATTAATTGTAATATGGACATCATTTTATCTTTCTCTAGAACAGAAAGCAATAAATTTTTGCATCACGTTGCATATTTACATTTTCTTTTTGTGTATAACAAAAGTATGTGGAAAAAAAAAGGGAAAAATCTAGATCCCTTGTTATAAATGGATAGCATTAAAATCATTCTTAAATTACTAATCAATGATCATACAAAATTTGAGCAAAGTTTTTTGTGCGACATAATATAACGCGTGCTACAAAAAAAAAAAATAATGGTTCAAACGACGAACTTAGAAACCAAGTAAATAGGGAGTAATTCAAGATGCCTTTTCTCCATGTATTATATTCATATTTCATTTATATTTTAAACGTTACTTTTAAGTGGTATGTGAAGAAACTATGATATTTATGTAACATTGTTATAAACTAGTTTGATATTCATATGAAGATTTGCACTTTAATTTCTCACGTATAACTAAGTGAAGGATAACTAGGTTATTTACGGGTTATATATATAAATCACATGCGCGTAAGCGCATGTGATTATCATAAATACTTTTTTAAACATTCCCTCTTTTTCAATATCTCTGTAATATTTGTAATATTATGATGTCTTCTATTCCTACAGTCATAGAAGGACTTTCACGTGATTGGCCGATCGATTTCGAGATTTAGATAATCTACTTAATAAAATAAATTAAAATTTTACTTTCAGTTTTAAAACAACTTTTAAACTCTTTATATAAAAAAAATCAAAAACCCTGAGGACTTTACTTAGAGGACAAAATATGCCTATCACTGGACTTTATGTAATTTGTTATTCTTATATCCATTTAGGTGATACAATATGCTTGAACTTTTATAATGGAATTGTAATAAGTTTGGCTAAATTCTGATAACATTTTCAAGTAAGTATAGTGTCTATTTTAGAATAATCATAACCTCTGCTTCAACCTTTGCTTTTACCTTAAGCTCCACTTCACCTCTAACTCCATCTTAATCTTAGTCACTACTACCCTCACCTTCTACTTTATTCTTTTCTAAAACAATAAAAATATTAACTGATATTTTATATAATTATAAAAAAAAGAAAAAGAAATCAACAATATACTTTTTTGATGAATTTCACACAATTATGGAAGGAAAAAATGTAAGATTAAAGGTTTTTTTAATAAGTTATTAAAAAATTTAAGTTCACAAACATAGGTGAATAAACAACTTCTATTTATATACTACTTTGCGAAATTTATAATAAGTTTATTAATGATGTAAAGAGAGATTTGACAATATATTTAGATTTTACTAGTACTTCTATGCTTCTATAGACACTCTTGCTAATCTAAGCGTAACTATAGTATCACATATAATTGTGAAATATAAAGTTACTATATTTAATGAATATGTCAAACTGTTGATTTTACGCTTACAGAACATGCAAAAAAGCAATAGTATTAAATATTAATAATTATTATAATATCTATATAAAATTGATACTAAATACAACTACACTTTTACTGCAATATATTTATCAACAATTTTGATGAATCCTATCACTACATAGAATGTGATTTCAAATATAAATATACATAATTCTAAATTGGTCAATGCAGAATTAATAAAACTAAATTTAAATAATAGATTTATAATGATTTTGGTCTTTTACATAATTAACGTTAAGAATTCTGTTTAGTTAATGATAAAACTAAATTAGAAAAATTAATTGTATATAGTTACAATATTAAATTAACAAAAAAATACTTGTTTAATAAAAAAATGTTATTCTTATAGATTTACAAAAAAATAATCTTTATTTTCTAAATATATATATCAAGGTATTGAAGTTATTATAAATATTTTGTCTATACAATAATATATTCAAAAGAATATATATATCTATTATTACTGATTAACCTAGATAAATATACCTTCAGATAGCTATTTTTTATTTTATATTATATTATGATCAATTAAATATTATTAATTCTATTTTATTATTTCTTCTTATTATCTCTTCAAGCATTTTACAAGCAAATTTACCTGCAATTTTAAAATTATTTATAATAAATTTTAAATATTTTTAAAATAATTTATTTAAAAATTAATATTTTATAATAAATTTTATGATGTTTTCTAAGTAAAAATTCAAAAAAAAAATGTGATTAATTCTTGATATTTTAAGGATAAGTATATGATAAATTATTATAAAAAAAAATTAAAATTTTAAACTTATATATCTTGCTATCTATTGATCTCAAAAATATGAAAATATAATCATTTAATAAGTTTTAATGAGATAAATCCAACAAACTAAATTTATTTTCTTGTAATTATTAGATAATAAGTTATTTTAAAAATTAAAAAATTAATATATATTAATCATTATTAATTTTAAAATTTTAAAAATACTATCATTAGATAGATCTTAATATGACAAATCTAATAAACTTTATTTTATTTTTTTATAATCACTAGATATTAAAATATTATAATTTTTTTACAATGTTTTATAGCTAATTTATACCTATACTTTAAAGGATAGATTTTTTACATATTTCATTAAATAGTTAAGAGCTAATATTCCTTTAATATCTATTATTTTTTTAGCTATATATTTAGAAAATAAAATTCTTTATATAAAAGTCTAAATCATAGTATATTAATCTTCTTTTAGAAATTTTTCATAATACTTAATAGAAAATTTCAATAAATATTAAAGCAAAAATTTGAATTAATGTGTAAAGATACTAAATATCTTACATTAAAAGATTTGTTTGATAATCTAATTTCTTTGGTCTAAACATTTACATAGTATTTTTTTAATCTAATGATTTTAATGCTTATTTAAAATTATATCTTTATATATAAATATTATTTCTTAAATTCTATTATAAAAATTATTTTAAAGCATTATTTATATTTCTTGTAGATATATTTTATTAGAAGTTAAATGATTATCCTATTTTAAAAATCATTAAAGCTGAACTTTTAAAGTTCTTAAAATATTTTATAGTGTTTTTTGCTAAAAATATACTGAAACACAAAAGATCATCAAGTATAGATGCTATATTAATCAATTTCACTTAGATAATAATAGATTTAAAGAAATATTACACATATATTAATATAAACTGCTTATGAATATTCTGCTTGAAATATTATATTTTTAACAAAAAGAGTATATATTTTTTTTCAAAGATTTATGCATATATTTTTACTAATAAATCTCTATTAACATTTTTTTTTACAGATTTATGTAAATTTAAATCTAATTTAAAAAAAAAATAAAGATTAATAAAATTATTATTTTTTTTACAAATAATGAAAATACTAGAAATATAATTATGTTATCTTTTATTAAGATTTAATATTTTACATAAATTAGATCTATTTGTTATTATAATATATCTAACTATTTTATTTCTTTATTAATCAATATATAATTAATTTAAGTTTTAGCTTGTGATCATAGATTTTACAATTTTAATAATAGGTATAAGTATTTATATTACTTTCATTCTTATAAATAGTATTAATAAATATGTTTAATCTTTATTAAAATGTTTATAATAAAAAAGAATTATAAGTAAAACTAAAAATATAAAAAATAATTTCTATATAATAATAATGATAAAAATAAACTCATAAAATATATTATATTAGTATTAAAAAAGGCATTATAGAAATTTTACATTTTTTTTTTTGATTATTATAAAAATTAATAAATTAAACTATTTATTTTATTATTAATACTTTTAATTTAATATATAATATTTAAATAGTTTAAATATAATTATTATAATATCACATAATATATATAAATATTTATAATATTAATTATAAAATTTGTGTAATCTGATTGACTAATTATATAAAGTCTTCTTATGATTCTTATAGATAAAAAATAAAAAACTTTTACAAACAAAAAATTAATAAAAAGCTAATATATTAAAACTTATTATCTAATATAATACTTATAAAAAGTTAAATAGTGAAATTCATATATATTATTATTATACATCATTAGCATAATATTTAAATAAAGAGTCAATAATTAAATCTTATAAAATGTAATATATATAGGTAATTTATTAATATAATAATGTATATATTCTTTATTTTAATTTATATTCAAACATTATATTTATATAAGCTATGAAATAACAAGTATTTTTAACTTAACGTTATAGACTTAAAATAATATATCATGTGACCTTTACAACAAAATAAACA